TGACCTCCATATTGGCAGTGTAGTGGCACCCTGTTAGTCCCAGGCTGGTTCCCTTTAGTTCAAGATCACCTTTGATAAAGTCCAAGGACTGGAGAGAAAGTTAGAGTAACCTGGACGGAACTGTGCAGCTCTGTAGTGTCTGCTTTCTTCTAGCCGCTTTAATGATCTGACATTTCTGTCATTTCTGCCTGAGAGGACAGACATGTGTTCTGAATTCTTTTATTTGCATAGACAACATAGCTGGATGATCAAAGATTTTTGTTTAACATATGGACAAGTGTGAACAGCCAGAAGTCTTTAAAAGAGGTGACATTTTTAAGGCCCAGTTTTTCCTTCATGTTAATTTGATTATCAGCATTTATGTCTAATGGAATATCTCCATCCATTCAGATTGCTGTAACAAAAAGTTAGCATAGATTGGGTGACAGACAGAAATGTTTTCCCCGCCGTTCTTACAGCAGGGAGGTCTAAGATCAAGGCTTCGGCATGAGGACCCTTTCCGTGGCTTTTGGGCAGATACCTTCTCCATATATCCTGACATGGCAGAGAGAAATCTCTCTCCTGTCTCTTCTATCAAGGGTACTAATCGCATTCATGAATGTTTCATCCTCATGATTTAATTACTCCCAAAGATGCCACCTCCAAGTACCAATACACCAGGGATTAGGACTTTGATGTAGGGTGGGGGTGGGGTGGGACACAAACACAGTTCCTAGCATGCCAATAGCCCAGGGGCTAGACACTAGTTCTGTCTACACAATTATTGTATTTTAGAATAAATTGGGTGACTTGAAGCATCATTAATTGGTAAACTGATAATGACCTTCTGTAGAGCTTCTGTTTCCTTCTGACCATGATGTCTTGTGGATACGCTGCCTCCACCAGAGCAGAGGGAAGACAGCTAGGGACATTCACAGTGTCTAAGAGCCTATGTTACAACTGTCCTCAAATCTGCCTTTGGGAGCACCCCTGTGAGATCCCGGGTATTCTCCAACCCACCCCAATTCATTTTGTTCACCCGCCCTTACATGAGCATACGGCATCAGGCTGCAGGGAGAGGTGCCAGGAACATGTTCCCTTTGTTCAGTTTAGCAAAGACTAGCAGGGAAAGCTGTAGAGATGAGTGCTAGGGAAGGTGCGTGTGGGGTGAGACTGAATGTCAACAGTCACAGCCAAGATGATGGGAGGGGTCAGGTATGGTGGTGTCTTAGCACAGCTTAGAATGTGGAAGCGTATGGGAGGGCATTGACATCGCAGGCTGATCTACTGTCACGGAACAGCTGGGCCCATCGGTGCCAGCTCTGATCTCTAGCACACAGAGAAAGACACCCACTGTCAACCAGTACCTGTCAAATTAGTGTTTAGGTTGTAGGCAAGATGGGTCTAGTATAGCCTTCAGTTCCTGAGGGACACAGTTACCTGCATCTCTTTTCCACTAGGCTGATGTTCTTGACAACAGGGTTGTGTCTTTTTTGAGTTGTCTCCAGAGGAAAGGAATGAAGTTAGACAACTGCATTCATTTTAAAAAGATGTTCTCCAGATGCCTAGGGCAGAGAATGTGTGGAACAGCTGTGCTCTAGGCAGACCAGTACAGGCCTGGAACATTCCAAGGCTTTGGTAACCTGAAAGACTAAAGCTTCACAGGCAGTTCTGATGGCAGCAGGTCACGCAGTAGCACTGGCACAGCAGGCCCTCACAGCAGGGCTGATTTATACTGAAGCACCTCTACTGGGCAGCTGCCGATCTGGGCCCTCAGCCACCCTGCTTCTCTGTCTTCAGCATGGCTCAGTACAGAGCGTATGTGCTCATGTTCATCTGCTAGCGCTACCGTAACAAAATGCCACAGACCATGTGTCTCAAACAACAGAAACGTATTTCTTCACAGTTCTGAAGGCTGGAAATCTAAGAATCAGTTCCTGTGGGGTCTTCCCTTTGGCTTGTAGATGGCTGTCTGCTCAGTGTGGCCTTTCTTCTGTTTGTGTTCATAGAGAGAAAGAAAGACCAGAAAGCTCTGGTATTTTCTCTTATAAGGACATTACTCCCATCAGGTCAGGGCCCCACCCTTGTCACCTCTTTTAACCCTAAACTCTTATTTATTTTATTTTATTTTTTTGTGGAACTGGGGATTGAACTCAGGCCTTTGCGCTTGCCAGGGAAGCACTTTTTCTACTGAACCATCTCCCCGGCCCCTAACCTTAAACTCTTTTCCTTAAAGACTGCCTATCCAAATACAGTCAACCTCACTGGGAATTCATTAGAACTTCAGCACATAAGTGTGAGAGTGAGAATATGCAAACAGCCTATAACTGCTCCAGAGACAAACTGGCCTTCAATCTCTACTCTTACAAACTAAGTCTGTGTCCTTGGCTTTTCTTTCTTTTTTTCTTTCTTTCTTTCGTTTGTGAAACCAGGGATTGATCTCAGACCCTTGCACTTGTTAGGGAAGTGCTTATTCCACTGAGCCATCTCCCCGGCCCTCTTCTTTCTTAACGTATGTGGTATAGGGTCTTACTATGCAGCTCAGACTTGTGGTGATCCTCCAGTTTCAGCCTCCCCAGCACTGGGATTATAGTCTTGGTGGCTGGCTCAGCATGCCCACAGGCGGATTCAGCATGGCATGCAGTGCTAGGGATCAAACCCCAGTCCTTGCGCTTACCTAGGCAGGAGCTTAGACCACTGAACTATCTCCGCAGCCTCCTTAGCTTTTCTGAAGCCTCAGCTTTTCCTTGGTAAAAAACAGGGAGAGCCATGGTACCTACCTGGGGTAGGACCAAATAAGAATGCACGAGCTGGGTTTAGTGAAGGGCCCTGTGTGTCGCAGGAGTTCAGAAACCATTAGTTGACAGCACTCACAGGGCTCTCCCTGCTCTGAGTCGGGCGCCCTCGGCAGTGATGCCTGAAGTGCTGTTCAGCCTGAATTTCCAGGACTGGCCCACGCCGTGAGAACAGGATCCCAAACCAGAGAGGGTCTGTGACTCTGCTGTCCTTCATGAAGCCAGATCTCTTCAGAGCCAGGTTACTCCACAGGAGTTCCAGCGGGAAGGTAGGAAATGACAGTTGAGAGGCAGCGGCAGCCCCAGTGTCCCAGAGAAGGAGAGGAGGTGCTCTGGACCCGAGTGAAGGTCACATTGGATTCTTCCTGTCTCTTATTGTCTCAAAGAAAAAATGAACAAGTCTTTAAGCATAAATGTTCAGGTTGTAAAAGGTAATCCAAGTTTCTTGTATAAAATTTTGAAAGTACAGGGCAGAGGGTGAAAAAAGAATCAAGGTGTGCTATGTACATATACCAACTCCCCATGGGGAGTGTAATCATTATGTATGGGAAACATGTACTAATAAAAAATAAAAATTGAAGAAAATTTTAAAAAATACAAGAACCTATGAAGTGCATAGTGATCACTGTACCTCTTCTGCCCAAAGTTCATGCGGATAACTTCCCTTTCCACCAGACAGACCCGGGTCCAAAGCTCACCCTCCTCCTGAAGTTGTGAGACACTCAACAGGCTGTTACCTGTCATTTTCAACCCTTCTATGTGGACCTCTTCAAATGGCACTAACACGTGCCCCTTTGTCCTACTTTGCCATCCTGCTGTGGAGATGAGATGCTATAAAGTGTGGGCCATGCGGTATTAATTTAGAGGGGCATCATTGTTCTGCTAAAGACAATGCCCTTGGCTCTCAGCGCCAGCAGTGAAGTTGAGGCAGGGATCCCCTGCAATCCATGACTGTGCCCCTCATGCAAGTTCCTTCCCTGTAGGCGTGCGCTGTGAGCTGGAAGCAAACCAATACTGTCACATACGTGGTTGACACTGTGTCACAGTGTTCTAGCCTATTTTTCTCTTACCCAAGCTGCTTGAAAAAGATCAGATTATGTATTTGTGCAGAGAACTGCGGGTGTGTCTTTTTGAGCAATGCTTGCTACCTCCATCTCTCCCCTCTTGCTACTTCCACAGAGAGCTCGGGACCTCTCCCTTCATAGTCAGTCTCACCTGGGCTTGGCTTTGTGGGGGGCAGAGACAAAGACCAGGGTAGCTGTGTTAATCAATTGAGAACTGAACCCATTTCCAGATTATTGCTTATGAAATTAAAACCCTAGTTTTCAGTTTGTGGGACACAAGGTCTCTCAAACATGAGCAATTTCAGATGGTGGGCCTGTGGCTGACTCCACTTTCCCAGCGTTTCCAGCTCACTTCTCCCCCAGGCTTTCTGTCCTGTGCCTGCCACACTAGGGAGCAAGTCTTATCTCCCCAGAGGTCCACATGACACCCTGCAGGCAGCAGATGTTCACAGAGCACAGTTGTCACTCCCAGCCACCTGTCACATCTCCTTAACTCTCAGCACCTGGCAGTTAAGGCTTGGAGGGCACAGACAGCTTTCTGGGTGCTAAGATTCCTTGCACTTCAACCGGCCAACTTGGCAAAAACTAAGCCAACTGCTTCAACCAACAGTCTAAGTACTCCAGATATCTCACATAGTTTCTTTCAAGGGGTTCCTTCCACAGACCCTGGGGCCTTGGCATCCTGGGACATGCCCTTTACAGTTAAATGATGAAGATGAGAGAGAGTATGTTGCTTCCTTTGCTCTGTCACAGTGATTTGCTATTTTGGAAAAGTCAAGCATTATCTTGGACACAAATTGCCAAATATGCCAGAAAACAAATATGGAACAAATCTACTACTTAGTGCTTTAAGCCATTTGGTCATGAGAGTGGAACAAGTAGATGCAGCTACTCATTGGTTATTCACTAGTTTTGAGGGTCCTCTACTGGAGGCACAGGTGATTTATAGGATTCTGCCTCAAGGTAGGGACAGAATCCAGTAGGAAGGATCTGATCTTCAGAGAATGGGGAAAGTTTCTTAGAAAAGGAAACTACTGGCTGTAGGACCAGCTTCCTTCCTCTCCCTGCCCACTCTGACCATGGAGTTCAGCTCTAATAGCATGGGCCGTGGTGACCATTAAAGGAACTATGACCTTGACTGGTTCCCTTCTCCCTTCTGCAGGAATATGCTTGCCAATTCAGCCAGCGTGCGGATTCTTATCAAGGGAGGCAAGGTGGTGAACGATGACTGTACCCATGAAGCAGATGTCTACATCGAGAATGGCATCATCCAGCAGGTGGGCCGTGAGCTCATGATCCCCGGAGGGGCCAAGGTGATCGATGCCACTGGGAAACTGGTGATCCCCGGAGGCATTGACACTAGCACCCACTTCCACCAGACCTTCATGAATGCCACATGCGTGGACGACTTCTACCATGGGACCAAGGTAATGCTCTTGCTTGCCAAAGGTGACTTCTTTATTCTGCTTCTGGAGCTGCTACAGATAAGGCAGATCAAGAGTGGGTGTTCCCCTTGCATTGCTACCACGAAAGGATGTCTCTGGTGCACACTGTGGCAGCTGGAATAGGGATTTCTAGCTGAATGTCTGAGGCAGTTTTAAAGAGGCATTTAAGCCTGTTGGCTGGCCGTATCACTTACTGATACACCTAGGCCAGGAACTGGTTTATTTTTTATATTTTTATGTCATGTAAAAATATTATTTATATTTTTTATATTTTTTAAAATAAAAATATTTTTTATATTTTTATGTCACGGATTTAGAAGAAGAAGACCTGCTGGTGTTTGTGAAGCGGGGAAAGGATTGCTTTCGTGGATTCATTTATGCATGATGAGCTAAATTAAATTCCCCAAGTCTGTGACAGATTACAGAGTCACCTTCATAACTGATTTTAATGGCAGAGATTGCAAAAACTATCTTTTATTATCTCTTCCTCTTTATTCACTTTTTTAATAGCTTGAAAAGTGTGAGTGGGTTCTCTTTACGGTGTGAGTTATCATGGATGATATTTAACACTTACTGAGCTGGCCCTAACTAGTGTATTTTCCTGACTGCAGAATATAAAAATTCAGACTTGTCAAACATAAATCATGAGAAAACTGTGTTTTGCAAAAAGAGCCAAAACTGGGTTCTTTCACTGTTCCTCAGTGCTCCAGAAATCTCTGTCGTTGCTGTCCTTTCCCTCCATTGTAATGACCTGTCACATGCCAGCCTTTCATAGACATAGGACCAAGGGCCCATGCAGACAAGGCCTGGCTCTGCTTTCCCAGAGCTGCTCTGACCTGCAGCTAGAGCAGCTGCAATAACAACGTGCTGAATGAACAGGCGAATGTTTCTTGTCCACGTGGGTCTCCTCACCCACTAGACATCAGATTCATCTGTGAAGGTGTTTTAAAATACAGACTGAAATCAGAATCTCAAGGGACAAAATCCCCTACCCTGGCAGCGGCCCCTTCTACTGCCTGATTTACTATCTCAGATGCTTCCTGGGTGACAGAGATTCACTAGATCCTGGTCCCTGGCTATGATCCTGTGTCATACTTAGACCCACAGCCTTAAATCCCCGTGCCCCTGTACCCTCAAATCCAACCTCCACTTTGTCTGGAGTTCTCAGGGGACCCCTTCCCAGCTCAGGGCTCCCCTTCTAGGATTTATTTCCTATAGGCTCAGGTATTACTGCTGCTAGGCAGCATCTGATGACACCCCTAACCCATGCCTGAGATGCCAGGTCAGTGCAGCCTCTGGGAAAGCAGATGGGCCAGGCCTTGTCTGCCATGGGCCCATGGTCTGATGTCATGCCAGGCAGGTGGCCTGAAGGTGTCCTTGAGGTGAAGACATTTCCCCTCTCCATGCCAGGGATTTCAGAATTGACCTTAGAAGGTTCTAAATAGCTCAGCCCAGCCTAAACTGAGGCAAAGATGCAGGTATCGTGCCCTAGGCTCTGGGCCACACCAGTCTACTCTCACCAGGGCCAGAGAAGAGAGGCAGTAGGCAGTTGCTCCTGCCTCGTGAGAACTGCCTCAGGGACTGCAGGTGATGCCTTTTTAGGGAACCGAGGAGCCACATCCTCGTAAACCTGGGTCCTCTTGCAGGATGCTGTGGTGGCAGTTGGGCCCTTTCTGCAGGGCACCATCCCAACCCCAAGCCAGGCCAAGCCCCTTTTGTTTGCGGTTATGGCCAAGGCCATTTCTGTTGCCCGCACGCCTACAGAGAAGCACGCAATTATGGTGGTCTCTTGGTCATTAATTGGTTCCAGGACATGAGACAGGTGCTAAAAAATGATGATTACTGAATTGGTTTGACTGGAAAGGGTAGCAAGTCACAAGCATTCGACACAGACAGGGTCTAGCCTGCTCAGTGAGTGCCAGTCAACAAGTACCAGGACAAAATTCTGAAATCAAAATGTGTCCAGTACCAAATCTGACAAGTTTCAAAGAAGTCAGTACCAAAGCAATCAGGTACCAGCAGTAAGAATAGAGAATTATCTCATCCTGTCAGTAAACCAAGTGTTACCAGCACCCTGAAGCCCCTCTTCACCAAAGGAAAGATAACCACTATCATACTTTTTGCTTGTTTGTTTGTTCTGAGCTTTTATTTTTTATTTTGAGATAGAGTTTCACTAAGTTTCCCAGGCTGGGCTTGAACATGGGATCCTCCTGCCTCAGTTTCTCAGAGTGCTGGAATTATAGGCATGTACTATACCTGGCTCTACCATAACTTCTATACTATAGACATTGTGTGTGTGTGTGTGTGTGTGTGTGTGTGTGTGTGTGTGTGTTTAATGTACTTAGTACAGTGTCTACAAGGTCTCACTACACAAATCAGACTTGTAGTGATCCTCCTGTTTTCAGCCTCCCAAGCGCTGGGATTACAGGTGCATACCTCCACACCCAGTCTTCTATAGACTTTTTTGTTTGTTCTTTTTTTTTTTTTTTTTTTTTTTTTTTGGTTTTTAAAATAGGGCCTCACTCTGGATTCCAGGCTGGCCTTGAACTCTTGGTGATCCTCCCATCTCATCCTCCCAAATGCTAGGAGCTCAGGCATATGACACCATCTCTCTATATAGAGATTTTTAAAAATCACACCTTTAGATGTAATTCACATACCAGGCAGTTCATTGATTTAGAGTGTAAGAATTGAGGCTGAGGGTGTAGCTCAGTGCTCGAGCACTCATCCTGCATACACAAAGCCCTGGGTTGCATCTCCAGCGTGGTACTATCACAAAAATGTTTTTAAAAATAAATGAAGTGTGGGGCTGGTGAGATGGCTCAGTGGTCTAAAGCACCTACTTAGAACAAGCTTAGCAAAAGCACAGGGACCACGGTTCAATCCCCAGCACCACATGCCAGCCAGCCCCGCCCCCTGGTGGGCTGAGCGTGGCCACACACACACATAAATAAATAAATTAATTAATTAATTAAAAAATAAATAAGTAAATAAATGAAGTGTAAGAGCCAATGGTTTTTAGTTTTTCATCATAGGCTGGTTTTACTTGTTTATGGCTTTGTATAGATTGTTTCAAACAGTATGTTCTCTTGTGTTAGCTTCTTTTGCCCCAAAATTCATCTGTAATATTGAACTTTTTAAAAAATGTACTTAGTACAGGGACTACAGTGTCTCACTACACAGATCGGACTCATAGTGATCCTCCTGTTTTCAGCCTCCCAAGTGCTGGGATTGCAGGCCAGGACCACCATGCTCAGTCTCAATCACCGGCTCAGTGTGCCCCTACATGCCGGAGATCAAACCTCGGTCTGCTAAGCTATCTGGCCAGCGCTTGTTGCATATTGTAGTTCCTTCATTTTCATGGCTTCATCATATTCCATTGTGTATACCACATTGCGCTTATTCATTCTACCTCCAAAGGACATTTGGGTCTTTGATGGTTTAAGGCAGTTATAACCATTGTTGCTATTTCTTTTGGCAAATGTGTCTACACATTCTTTTGGGCCTAGTCCTAGGAGCGGAATTTCTGGGTCATAGTACAACACACATATGTTCAGCTTACATACTATAGGCAAATAGTTTTCCAAACTGCTTATGACAATTTATATTCCCAACAGTAGTGTAAGAGAGGCCACAGTACTTAACATCAACATGATTCATGATAACCATACCAGTCCATGCTGGGGTTCTTTCTGTAAAGTGTTAGGACTTGTATCAGAAAGAATAGCCTCATAGTTACTGTTCATTTTTGGGGGAGATCTTTTGTCCAGGGCCAGATACCACACTGTCACTGTGCTGTCTACCAGCCTCACAGAAAGCAGACTGGCCTTCTTTGCCTTATTTTCCACACTGTCATCTGCTGGGGCCTCATTAGCCAGAAGTGACAGATTTTCCCCTGGGAGCCTTTTGCTCTGTACAGCTGATGAAAAGCTCTGTACATGTATCTTTGTGCAAGGTGGTGGGCAACTCTTGATCTTTTCCAGGCTTCTCGTCTGTGGGGACAGCTGCCTCCAGAAAGCATCTGAAGGCCCCCATGTAATTGATTGTAGAAGCCCTGACCTCTCAGTTTCTGCAGGCTTGGGCTAACTCAGGCACCCCTGAGTCCATGTGAGGCACTGCTGTGGGAAATTTAGACCACAAACCCCCAAACCTGGAGTCACCAAAGTGGACCCTTTGTTTTAGGCCAGCAAGACCACACTTGATCCTTGCGCACCAGCTTTGCTATTGCCCTCTGCTTAGGAAATGCAACCCCTGACCCAGCCTGCTCTGGACCCCTGAGTAGAAGTTGTGTCTCCAGCCTCCCAAGAGACTCCCTGCCCAGCCCTCATCTCCTCTCTACTCCTGAGTTCCCCTCCATATTGCCGTTCTCCAGTCAAATGCTTTGGCTTCCTATTTCCTGTAGTTCCTGGATATCTCCAGGGGAGAAGAGAGAAAAAAAGTCTTCTACTGTTGAAATGCTGGCTCATGGGGACTCATAGCTTTAATTATTTACACCACCTTGGCACTAGGGGAATGATGCATGCACCTTCTAGACTGCCACCAACGTGCTTAGCTCATGCCTAGGAAGGCTGATTCACTGGAAGCATCTGGGTTTATAACAAAATAATAGCCCCAAGGAAAAGCTCACTGAGTGATTAGCCAAGAGAGAAAGGAGGATCAAGTCGCATCATTTTGTGCTTGTTAGACAGATCTGGCAGGTCTTGAACCCCACACACCCTTGGCTTTTGCATGCTTGTCAATTTGGCAGCAGCAGCCAGTGTTGGAAGAACAAAACAACTGAAAGCCTAGCTTTTTAAAGGAGAGCATCTGGGTCCCCATTGTGCTCGGTCTGAAGGGATTTCCCCCAAGCACTGCAGCAAATGCCTTGTGTGCCTTCGCCTCTTTCTGAGGCCGTGGCAGGCTCTGCCTGGCTCCCCTGCTCACAGCCTGGGTCTCTTGGTCACTTGCTTGTCCTTCCTGGCCCAAGCACCACCACCCCAATG